AATGGGCTACCTTAAAGGGAAAGACCCAGTCCTGGAAGGATTTGTCATCTGCTGACAAAGAGTACTTGGCCCTGACGAGTTAGCAGTGGTAGCCAGGAAGCACTCGCCAAGGGCCTTGGGTGAGACTCAGAGACATGATGGCTTCAGATGGGATACAGCACATTCCCCACTGTGGTGGCGTACGGAGAGACTACTTCTACTGGAGAAAAGGGGAGGAAGAGTAAGGGAACTTTATTTTGCAGCTTAGGTATCAGCTTGACCACAGTCGGGTAGAGCAATAAATGGTTCTTGAGGTCCCTGATTCCCCAGCCTTGGCTCTTGGACGGTATTTCTGAACCTGACCTGGGCCACAGGGGAGCCGCTGTCTTGAATGGAAAGCCCAGGTCAGGCAGCAATACACCACAAACTGAATGAAGAGCCCTGGCTTGAGTGAACACTGGCAGTAGCCAGGCAGTACTCACCATGGGCCTGGGGTGGTAGCGGCCCACAGAAAGAGACTCCTATGACTACAGAAAGGGGAGGGAAGAGTGGAAGGACTGTCTTGTGGTTTGGGTGTCAACTCAACCACAGTAGAACAGAGCACTAGTTGATTCTTAATGTTTCTGACTCTAGGCCCTGGCTCCTGGATGGCAACATCTGGACCTGCTCAGGTCAGGTAGAACTTGCTGCACTGAAGGGAGATACATAACCCTGGCCGTTTTTGCCACCTGCTGATTGTAGAGCCCTAGGGAGACTTCAGCAAAACAAAGGTGGTAGCCAGGCAGTGGTTACTGCAAGCCTTGGGAGAGACACAGTAATCTGTGCTTCAGGTCTGACCTAGCACAGGCCCAGTGGTGGGGCTACCAGGGGTGCTTGTTCAACCTTCATCCAGCTGCAAGTAGCTCAGCACAGAGAGAGAGACTCCATTTGTTTGGGAAAAATAAGGGAAGAGAACAAGAATTTCTGCCTGGTTGTCCAGAAATTCTGGATCTTATCCAAGACCACCAAGGCAGACTCGGGAGGCTGATGAGGCAGGATCGATTGAGTTTCAAAAGTCAAGGCGGCAGTAAGCTATGATTTCATGCTACTGTACTCTAGCCTGGGTGAAAAAGCAAGACCCTGTGTCGAAAAAAAAAAAAAAAAAAGAGGACTTTGTCTTGCAACTTGGAAACCAGCTCAGCCATAGTAGGACAGAATAACTGGGCAGAATCCTGAGGCTCCCATTCCAGGCCCTAGCTCCTGGATGGTATTTTAAGACATATCCTGGGCAAAAATGGAATGGGCTACCTTAAAGGGAAAGACCCAGTCCTGGAAGGATTTGTCATCTGCTGACGAAAGAGTACTTGGGCCCTGACGAGTTAGCAGTGGTAGCCAGGAAGCACTCGCCAAGGGCCTTGGGTGAGACTCAGAGACA